TAGAGGTAAGGAAATAAATATATCAATTGAAAGGCTAAAGCCTGCTTATATGCTAGCAGAAAACAGACCGGATCCCGTGAGCATAGAAAATCAGCCGGTCACACAAACAAACGTACCTGACAATGCGCCGGTTATACAGCAACGTGTTACGCGTTCAGGTAGACGCGTACGTTTTCCCGAGCGATTTCAAATTACGCGGTAGTACTTAAGGCTTGCGCATTATTATAATAAGTATCATATACCATTTATTTTTTTCCATCACTTTTATGTACTTTCATGTATTTTTAGGTATTACGTATTATATATTAAACTCCATGTAAATTCCTTTTTTTTTCAACTCTGTTCAAATACTGTAATGTAAATCTTAGTTAGGATAACGTATTTTATATAATAGAGTAAATGGTAGTGGTAATGTAGTCGGTCAATTTTTCGTAATTGTGCCAATTACTGGCAGGGGGGTAGTGTGGCGGCCAAGGCGCCACATACGCCTTAGCCGTTCGAAGCCGCTACAATGTATGGTTGCACACGAGACGATGGTTGCACACGAGACGATGGTTGCACACGAGACGATGGTTGCACACGAGACGACCAGAGCCGCGTGAGCCGAAAAGCCGTTGTCGTCGTCTCTGACCGTCTTTTGTTTTTGAAGGCCTCTTGGTACGGTGGCGATGATCGTACCAGAGAGTCGAGCGTAACCCGCACCACGAGTCACGTCGTTGTACGACAGCAACAATAAAATTGTGCGGAACGGAACAGAGCGGAGTCATTATCTTCCCGATCCCACAATACAATACAGAGATAAATTCTACCGAATCATAGTTTTAAATGTAGTTCGTGTTTGTACAAACCTGTCGACTCCAGTCTGTGCCTTAATTATCAATTAATTCCCAACAGAGATGTAAATTCGACCGAATAATAGTTTTACATTTAGTTCGTGTTTGAAGAACTGTTTGTGCAAACATAAATTCAATTAAATCATAGTTTTGAGTATAGTTCGTGTTTGATGAACTGTTTGTACAAACCTGTCGATTCTACTTTGCACCTTAATTATCAACAGAGTAAATTATACAGAGTAAATTCTAGTAAATTATAATTTTAAATGTAGTTCATGTTTGATGAACTGTTTGTCGATTCTACTCTCCATCTAAATTATCAATTAATTATCAACGGAGACATAAATTCGAGTAAATTATATAATTCTAAATGTAGTTCGTGTTTGAAGAGCTGTTTGTACAAACCTGTTGGTTCTATTTTCCATCTAAATTATCAGTTAATTTCCAAAAAAGACATGAATTCGACTGAACCGTAGTTTGAAATGTAGTTCGTGTTCGAAGAGCTGTTTGTGCAAACCTGTTGGTTCTACTCTGCGCCTTAATTATCAATTAATTAGTAACGGATACACAAGTTCGGCTACTCTCGTTTTCGTTTCAACGCGAAATAGAAGTTGAAGTTTCTTGCGTGGAAGCAAACCGAAGGAAAGGGCGCCGTATGGCAAGCGATGGGGAATGAGAGAAACGCAGTTATTTAATTAAAACCGGATTATACGTGATAGGTAGGGGGCTATCCTACATCTATAACCACCAACCTGGCACCGTCGATATATACTAATTGTACTATTCGGATTAAACGGCCGTAAATACTGGCCGAGGTTTCGACTAATTACCTGCGGCTTATATTTCAATAATGCACGAAACGGACTTCTTTCTTCAATGTTTTTTCATAAACACGTCGTTTAACATTCTATGGGGGGCCTAGAATGTTTGTTACAGCGTCCGCGTGATCGAAGGTGTTCAATTATTATTTGGAATTCGATGAACGCGCAACGGTGACGGAAGCACGTTCGATTTTATTGCGTGTAACACAAACGAGAGTGGTAGAATTACCCTTTAAAATAAGCTGAATCCCATTTTTGGGGGGGGGGTGAGGGGTGGCAGCATAACGTTGGGTGTAGCAATGGCGACCGAAACGCTTCTAGTGTGCTTGGGGGATCTGCATAATGAAAAGTTTGAATCGAACGCGATTCGAAGCTTAGAAACTTTCGTATTTGTTGGAAACATCGAACGGAAGATCTTGAATTCGTTCACTCGCTGAAAAAACACTTTGGTATTGCGGTGAGATCACAGGGTGGTTCCTCTAATTGTACATCTCCCCTCTTGCACCCGCTCCGGGCAGGAATCACTGCTCACCCCTTTCGCCCTTCCGCGGTCATGTTCTCTATTAAATCAGAGGCATTCGGATGACGACCGATGCGCCAGGAATCTAAATTCGCGACCCTCGAAAACACCGCTTTCTAATTACGACCAAATGTCTCGCTGTTTCTTCCAGTCGAAATTTTTACACGACGTTTGGTTCGAATATGTGAACGTGAATTGCTACTGTTCAAAAACAATGACACGAAACATAGTAATTTTTAGAAATGAACGATAATCACTTTGTTCCCCCTTTCGTTCCTCTTCTTTTATTTGCAACCCCCCAAACCGTGAAACGGCGATGCTTCCGTTAATTATATCAGCAGATGGAACTCCTTAAACGCAAATCATATCTTTTTAACCGTCTCCAGGGTTTGAATGGTAATGCCGATAAGGTTATACAACCGGTGGACCAAGTTTTTACGTCGCGAAAAGTGGTTTCCTAATTTCGTAGATTACGAAAACAGTTTGGAGCGCATTTTAATGGGAATCGCCATTTTGGAGTCGCCCGGAAGAAGTTGCACAATTTCAAAGCGCCGTCCACGATTTCGCCAGTTCGTAATACAAATAAACTGCGAAAGGTTCAGTTTGCAGGCCTTTCGAAAGATCGTAAGTCAGTTAGACGCGAAGAGATCTTGCTTTAGAATGGTATACACAGTGTACTCCCGCTTTTGGCCTCGTCTATTCGGAGATTACCACGACCGGAGTATTCTCGTGTCGGTAAAACGTATCGAACAGTACATACTTCTCTCCTATTTGGTACTGGCTAGCCTTCGTCGTCCCCCGGAAACGGCTTTATCGTTTTCTCCCCGTTGGTTCCATCTCCTCTTTGTCGGCGGCTCAACCTTCCATTCCTCTTTTTTCCCCTTTCAATTAAATACGCTCGCAAATTTATGTCCGCGCCGCGCCGAACTCCGCACTCGATATTCCGTTTTCCTTCCTTTATTGAAACAGACACCTTCTGCTTCCCTTATAGGTATCGCGGAATGGGGCTTCGATTGGAAATAATCGCGATGCAAAATACCAGCGAAACGCGTCTCCCTCCTTCGTTTCATAATTCGACGACAATCTCGTATTCGATTATTGCTCCAACCCCCACCCCCCGATCGGGCTACGGGGATATTTCGACGAAAGTGTACACGTTCTACACTTCTCAAGGCATAAACCGTACAAATGACCACGAGATTCTTATAAATTATTTTTTAGTCCCATTTTCATCGCGAAGTTTAATTATTTTTTAAATATCAGACGTTCCCTGAACCGATAAACACTCGTCCTTTTCCTACTGAATTACGAAATTATTAAAAATATTTACTCGTATTTTTTCATAATCATAAACCGTACAAATAATCACGAGATTCTTATAAATTATTTTTTATTCCCATTTTCGAAGTTTAATATTTTTTAAATATCAGACGTTCCCTGAACCGATAAATAATTCGTTCGTTTCCTCCTGAATCACGAAATTATTAAAAAAGTGTACTTTTTTTAGTAATTATAAATTTTTAAATTCATTTTGCATTATCGAGCGAATAATTTTTCGACGCGCTCGATCTCGAGTTGAAGTTACAATTTCGAGCGCAATTTAAAAACTGATCTGGCATTTGCATTAATAAAAATTCATTTAAAGCACTCGAGGTGCCGTTGCGTTCGAACGTTTCGATGTTTCGGTATTTATTATTATCTTCGGATCCCCGATGCGTCAATTTTTATCGATACGCGTATTCAACGCGTGCACGCGTACATTATAAACACGTTTATAGTCGAAATTTACGTTAACGCGAGACGGGACCGTAACAGGTGCAACTGCTCGACAAAGTTTATTTCGCTTCAGGTTCCGGAATTTTTTTTGTAAATATTTTTCGGATCTCCCCGATCTCACGAATGTTTCTTTTAAAAACAAACGTACATGTATAGAATAAATCTATAAGGATCGAGACGAAATACACAGGATGTTGTAAAAAAGTATTCTCGAAGGTTATTTAGAAATTTGTTTACGCCGTAAAACATTAGTCAACCTACAAAAAAAATAATAAAACTATATATCGACAATCTTATAATTTATTAATTTTATATATCCATGTAACACTGAAACGAGTACAAATTTAAAGTACTTGAATTTATATTTTATAAACCAAATACCTAATATATATAATATATAATTTATAAACCAACCTACAAAAAAAAAACTATACATCGACAATCAGTTTCCAATTTAAAATTTAAATTGTACACGGTACAAATATTCGATACAAATCTCCTACAATATTAAATCAACAAGATTTTAGAAAGAATTCTTTAGAAAGCCTTTACTGATGAGTCCACTAGCAGGACCTGTTTTAGGAAGCCTTTACTGATGAGTTCACTAAGCAGGGCTTGCTATAGAAAGCTAGCCTTTACTAATGAGTCCACTAAGCAGGGCTTGCTATAGAAAACTAGCCTTTAGTGATGAGTCCACTAGCAGGGTCTGCTAGAAAGCCTTTTACGGATGAGTCCACTAGCCAGGGCCTGCTAGAAAGCCTTTACTAATGAGTCCACTAGCAGGACCTGCTTTAGAAAGCCTTTACTGATGAGTCCACTAGCAGGACCTGTTTTAGGAAGCCTTCACTGATGAGTTCACTAAGCAGGGCTTGCTATAGAAAGCTAGCCTTTACTAATGAGTCCACTAAGCAGGGCTTGCTAGAAAGCCTTTTACTGATGAGTCTACTAGCTCCTACGAATTTTCTGGGGATCCTAACTGCAGCAAAGCAACGCCACAAAAGTGACCCGATTCCTCGAGCAGTACTAAATGGCGTTGTTACTCTGTTGCAGGTAAAAAGAAGTTCCCCTCGGATCCATCCTGTTGTCCAGCATGCGGAGTCACCGTGAGACCACAAGAACTGGAGCAACACTTTGCCCAGGAGCTCGACCGTCTCTACAAGATATCCTCCTCGTCTTCGCGGGCACGAGCATCGAGGTCGAATCTGGGCCCAGGGCATCCGCAGGATCATCCCCATGGACCGATGCTCCATGCTCCGTCGGCCGTCGACGGGACGCCTCATGGAAGATGGGAGACGTACAAAAGGATCAAAGCTAATAGGCAGGTAAATAGATACACGTACATATATCACCGTTTAGAATTACTTGGACGGTTACACACGATCCTGTGAATAATTCTAAACACGAAACACAAGGAACAACCAATCACAGTGACATTTCTATACATGTTGCAGAGATGATTAAGTGTTTACTAGGGCAACTTCCCCTATAAAAAATAAAATAACTAAACTTTATTGTAAGGAAACGCTTAGGAGCGAAATGTGGGTTCTCAAATCAATTGTTTGTTTGTCCTGCAGGCCAGAATTCGCGTGAAAAATCGAAAAAGAAAAGCGGACGAGCCCGCGTGTCCAGTTTGCAGCGAGAAACTGTCCGGTTCGACCGAGGAATTGAACCAACACGTCGAAAGGTGTTTGGCCAAGCACAATAATGGGAATCCTGCTGGACAGAATAACGTGGACGAGGAGGAGGTCGACGTGGAGGGCGACGCTGAAACTTTCGAGGAGTACGAATGGGCTGGGCAGAGAAGAGTTCGGGCCACGTCGATGCTCGTTGGAGGATTCTCTGGTACGCGTCGTCGAACACTTCCTTACTATTATTGTTAATGTTTTATATATCAAAAAGGGAATTATGCCCCCTAAATTCGGGACTCGTACAAAAATTGCAGAGAAAAGAGATGGGGGGTCTTGCGTATACATCGCACTGGGTGTGCAAAATCTAAATTTTAACAGAATATTATATTATATTTATGCTATCTTGAGGAATGATAAAATTACTAAATTTTAACTCTTTGGTTCCGTTCACAGCTGCAGGTTTGGCGACGTCTTCGAGCAACCGTGGGTCGACAGGTGGAAACGGGGGAGCGAATCAGCAGGAGGACGAGGACGTGGACCTGGTGGTGGACGGGGATGATGCCGCGGAGTTCGGGCCAGCTCAGTATTCCGAGGCAGACGTGATCGCGCCCCGTATGGAGGGCACACCGAGGGAGCAAAAGGAAAGAGACGCACTCCGGGAAGCCGTGATCTCGCCGAACACGCCGAACGCGGCGCACACGCCTCAGACGCCGGAGCAGATGGGTCAAGGGTTGGTCGAGGTGAAGCCAGAACCGGGAACGACCACTCCTCTGGGACAGAACGAGCAAGAAACCGTCTCCTCCTCGCCGAGAAGGGACGGTGACAACCCGGTAATCGAGGCTCTCAGAGGAAGAATCCGAGAACTCGAGACGGAAATGCGCTGTCAACCGTTCAAGTGTCTCATCTGCATGGTGAGTTTTTCAAACGCCCTGACAAATTTCACCGCGGAATCCTTATCACGGTGTTCCGTTCGCTTAGCATTTTATTCCAGGGTGGTCCTTGGCTACAGGGATCAACCATTTTGTTTTTAGTCTTCTTTTTACGCACCCCCATGGATCGTGACACTCGATAACCCTGGGAAAAATTTTAATGGGAGATTCTAGAGGCCAAAATAAGTTGAAAATCCAGAATACTAATTTGTTGATGGAGGCTTCGTTAATAAGTTATTAACGTTTAAAGTTCCACCCTTACTGCATTTCTTGCTAGAAAGGGGGCAGGATTTCGGGGGTAGGTCCATACACCAAAAATTATTGTAATTGACCCCCGCGACTAAAAATAATTTTTCCAGAACGATTTGAAATTTTTTTTCCCGTCGTAAAATTTCACACGTTCTCGAATTTTTTTCTCGAAAATGCGTAGGATTTCGGGGGTATGTCTATTCACCAAAAATGATTGTAATTGACCACCGCAGCTAAAAATAATTTTTCCAGAACGATTTGAAATTTCTTTTTTCGCCGGAAAATTTAGGCACCCTACCCCCTTTAATAATTTTATTTGACGCCCTACAGAAAAGTTGTCTTATACTTTTTTGAAGGTACTCATGGGCTGTGATTCGGAAAAAAGTATCATTGAAATATATTCGCTATTGTGGGAGTTATGGCTGTTTGAAAATTGGACCATTTTTATGGGGTTTTTCCATACTCGTTGCTTCTTTCGCCACTCCACTCGACGCAAGGGCCTTCAGGCCCATACTTTGCACTTCCACCAAAGTTTTTTCGCGATTAGTAAATTCCTTTTCATTTCGAAGCCGATCGAATTATTTTGACGATTCAAGTTTTGATTCGTATCTGTTCTCAGGAACAATACAAGAAACCTGTAACTTCTGTCTGCTGCTGGCATGTGCATTGCGAACAATGCTGGCTACACACACTGGTGAGTTACAAACGTCGTAATTTTTTAATAATATACGTCTAAAACGGTCTGAAAGTATCGAAAGTCGGTCGAAAGTATTATTCTGGTTAAAAGAAAAAATCGTTGGGACGTCCATCATTTGCTTAACTCTTTGCGGCACAGGATCGCAGATGATAAAATAGAAATTATATCTTTATTAATAAAGGTGTCACGTAATGTAAATACATTAAAAAAGATTGTCCCAATAAACCTCTTCCGCTTGCAACGATCTATGAACCTGTATTGAATTCGTAACATTTGTTGAAAATATTACCAACTGCTTTGCTAAAAATGCCCCACCACGCATTATAAGTGTGTGGCATGGCCTCCCAGGCTCGCCACCAGAGGGCTCGCGCTCTCACAAGCGCTCTCACGACCCCTCGGTTGCTTAAGTCCACTAGCAGGCCCCAATAAAACAAATCTCTCGAGTTCCACGCGAGAGCAGCGCCACAGGTGCATCAAAAAGGTGTGTGTGTGTGGGGCACTTTGAATCCCCCAGCGTGTTGTGCCCCAAAGAGTTAATATTTTGGGACTTACTATGCATGCAAACGAGACGTAAACGTAGAGAAATCGAATCGAAAGCTCGGGGGACCAACCCCCACAATCTATCCATACCCCAATAGTTTTCCCAATTGTCAGCGGAAGGGTTAAATTAATCCCAATCGTCCAGTGTTGTTGGAAAGATCCCCAGAAGAATCGACATTTTTCGCTGGCTATTTCAGGGTGCGAAAAAGCTTTGCCCGCAGTGCAACATGATAACATCGCCTTCAGACTTACGACGTATCTACGTGTGAAGGAGACCGAGTGCCAAACAAGAAGCCGTTTAAACCTGGAGTTTTAGGGTTCCCTCAGACTATCGACCTTTTCCCTGGCGCGCGTGTAAGTTCACTCGAGGAGCCCCGCCTTTTTATCGAAGCGAGCATTCTCGATCGGTCGCTCCTCGATCCTAGGACCTCCGGACTCTCGAACGGGGTCGATAGTCTGGCGCGAATCTTGCGCGGGGAAATCGACGCGTTTCGAACCTTTGAGCTTTGTAAATACCTTGTACATATTTACGCGTCACGTTAAATTTCTCCTTTAGATTTAACATGTACTGTTACGCATCGTAGCACTAGTAAATTAAGCATGAATGGCGCGCGTGAATAGCGTCTCGATCGAAGGAACCCGCGGCGCTTCGATCGCGTTTTCGATCAATTTTACGATTGGAATTCCGTTACTTCTTACGTACGTCGATTAGCAATTGCGAGAGGAACAACACCGTGCGATGTTAGAGACGATCGCAAGTTTCAAAACGAATCGAATGAATTCTACCGAAAGAATCGAAGCGCTTGGAATGTGTCGAAACATCGGTGTCCGTATAATTTTATTGATTCTACCGCCTTCGGTTTTCAAATCGTTTTCGTACGCCTTCGAAACAATTAGAATGAATTCCAGCTGGTTGTCAGCGTGTTGAATATTAGTCGCGAAATCGAATCCGATACGAATCGAGGAGTATTCGCGCGTACCTGGAAACTTAGGTGTGACTTTAAACGACTATCATCTATCTTAAATTTGCCCTTTCGCCGAATCTGTCGTTCTCTTAATCTTCTTCCGGAACACGTCTGTGTATGGTGTGCACCGCGTTCGATTCACCAATACGAGTATGCATGTATAAAATATAATCGACAAATTTTTCAACACAATTGTTTCCAGTAGAAATTCTCCAAACGTACCAGAAATTATTTCATCGTCCACAGTGTGTCCAACGACTGGCGATACGAGCGACAATATGGCTGCTATGCGCGAGAAAATTATATCATTTTTCTTTCGCGAGTATTCGTTCTCTTCGAATCGTTATTTAATAGTTTCAAACTTCTTAGAACCGGTTTAAATAAACAAAGACTTTGACGAAGACACTTCCATATTTTTTTCGATTCATTTTCTCGCGTAGAGTCGCCATATTGCAGTTTAACGACACAACTTGTATTCTTTTCAGTGTTTGTTACTATCTGTTCAAATTACAACTTCAAATTACTTGCTGCACGAAGAAATGGTTTCTTTTGAAACGTTCGTTCGTGCGGGAAGTAATTTTTAAATAAAAATGAGGATTTCCGTTTCTAATTCATTTTGACATTCACTTGGAAACATTTGTGAATCGGAGATTAGTAGAATAAACGAAACGAAGAGCAAACTTGTGGCACGAAACAAATTACGTTCGCGTTTTGTACGTAATGAAATTAACACATCACAAACGATCAATGCAATTCATTTGAACAAACGTGTGTTTACTATTCTTTTATTTTTATTTTTAAATTCGTGAAAGTTTACTCATTTTCTGTTCTCTTATAAATTTGATAACGCGCACAATTTCCAACGGACATTATTTATTTTCTCTGGCCCAACGTTCTTAACACGCAGGACAGTATGGGAAAAAGACTATTAAGGATTAAGGACCGAGTCGAATTAAATTTAATTTTTTCTTATTACTTGTTTAACCCGATTCGTGATGATTTTTTTCGCGAATGCTCTCTATTTTCTCGTTCAACGACAACGCGCGGTGGAGGGCCCTCGAAACCATAAACACGGTGAGTTTGATCGAAAAATTATAGATTTTTACTATCAATTTTTTCAAAATAAAAATTTCAGATTCGTTCGACAACCGCCATCTTAATTTGGTTCGAAAGAATTAACAGAATTATTCCCAATTATTGCTCGCGAGATGACTGGAACGACGAGACTCGATTTTAAAATGGCGTCGAGCCGTCCACCCGCGTTGAAACGATCGCCACAACTTTCGTCCGGTAAAAGTCTACTGTCCAGATGCATTTTGCGTTGAAACGATATTCTCGTCTTAAGATTTAAGCAGGCAAACTCGATCGATCGATCTTTGGAGAGAGAGAAAGGCGAAACAGATTCCACGGGCGTGTTTCTTGCGCGCGAAACTTTCGAATCTCTCTCGGGGCGATTGGCTCGAAAGACAGAAACGATGATTGCCTTTTTCGAGCGCGATCCACCTCGTTTCTTTCTCTCTTTTGATCGGCGAATCGTCCCGTCGCGCACGTCGGGGACGTTCTCTGTAAATACACGAACCAAACATGAGGACAGGAGAAAACCAACTGCCTGTCGTGAACGTTGTTCTGTAACCGAAATAAAGTGATCCTCGAATGTACAGCAGCCGTCTAGCAACAGTTTTCTTCTTCTTTCTGCGTCGAGCGTACACCTGAATCTTAATAATCCTTTCATCAAACTAACAGACCACGACTAGGGAAGAAGAACGCGAAGGTATGTACAATTAATACTTTAATTCTGCTATGGAAGTTCAGTTTCGACGTGTTCGATTAACCCTCTGCGCTCCATTTTGTTACCAGCAGCCCCACAACGCTTTGAGTGTTCTGTTTGCAATTTACGTTAACTAAAAAACAGGGCAATGTAAACAGAGTTGACAAGAAATTCGATTAAATTTTTATTTACACTGTTGTTGTGTTTTGTGAGTTTCAAGTGTACGATATCTGTTTGATTTGGACTTGTAAAAATGTCGAGTTGGGACTCGACGAAGGAGTGCAAAGGGTTGATGAAAGTTTTGGAGTAACTTGTATTTATAATTGAAAACTAGGAAGCAAATTGTGATTTTTATATAATTGTTTTATCGTACTCTTACTTTGCAAAGCCATTGTTCGTAAATTGCTTTCGTTAATGCTCGTCTTGGAAGTTACTAAGCATTTCAACCGCCATTTTTCTGTACCTTCGATCGATCCAATATTTTTGGTATTTTTAATTGTTTTCTATTCCTTCGTTATTAGAGGTGTTCCTCGATATTTCAGACCAGACTGAGACCTCCAGTCTTCTCGTTTAAGATCGATCGAGGTATATGTGTTGGTTGGTGAAATAATAATCGACGAAATCATAATTTTATATTCACAAGACTTTATGCAGTATGTTTTGAATTTTTTTTCTCGAAAACGCGCAGGATCTCGAGGATATGTCTATCCACCAAAAATGATTGTAATTGACCCCTGCATCTAAAAATAATTTTTCCAGAACGATTTGAAATTTTTGAATTTTGTCTAAAAATTTCACATCTTCTCGAATTTTTTTCTCGAAAACGCGCAGGATCTCGAGGATATGTCTATCCACCAAAAATGATTGTAATTGACCCCTGCAACTAAAAATAATTTTTCCAGAACGATTTGAAATTTTTGAATTTTGTCGAAAAATTTCACATCTTCTCGAATTTTTTTCTCGAAAGTGGGTAGGATTTCGAGGGTATGTCTAATGACCAAAAATGATTGTAATTAACCCCCGCAACTAAAAATAATTTTTTTAGTTTGATTTCAATTCTTTTAATTTCGTCTAAAAATTTCACAACTTCTCGAATTTTTTTCTCGGAAGTGGGTAGGATTTCGAGGGTATGTCTAATAACCAAAAATTATTGTAATTGACCCCCGCGACTAAAAATAATTTTTCCAGCACGATTTGAAAAATTTTTTATCGCCGAAAAATCTCAGCACCTTCTCGAATTTTTTTCTCGAAAATGGTTAGGAATTTAAGGGTATGTCTATCGACCAAAAATGATTGTAATCGAACCCTGTAACCGAGAATAATTTTTTTAGAACGATTCGAAATATTTTTTCTTGGCCGAAAAATTTTTATCCTAGAAGCTCCTTTGTCGAGTTCCACTCGTCATTTTTTCAATCTCAAACGAAAGAGATACACTTGAAAATTACAAACTATAACAATGGCGTACATAAAACAGATATCTGATTGAATTTGTTCAAATTGTCCTATTCTTGAGTTAACCTAAATTCGAAATAAAACACTTAAAAGCGTAGGATACTGCTGGTGACAAAATTCAAACATAATTCGAAACCCAAAGGGTAAAAATTGTGTAATCAGAGATCATTGTTGTCAACGCAAATGCAAATTCGAAGCGCCATCTTGTCGTTTCTGAAAGCATTGGAGGTTAAAGCTCGTCGCGACCGACACTCTCTTCCACGCGCCAGTCCATCCTTTAATTTCCCGTTTTTATTTAGGGACGAAAACCGCGTACGAAGCTGCGTTCGAGCAGGGAATAAAACGTCGACAAGGTCGAGCCATCGCGGAGGAATAAAAAGCCGATGCAAAATGGCTGCGCCCCCGTTGAATGCATGTTCTCGCGGTAAGTTGAGTAGGTGGTACTTGAAAACAAAGAGTGGAGGGGGGGGGGGAGGCAGCGCGGTTTGCAACGTTACGATAGATCGATGCTTCTTGTTGAGAAGAAAGACGGAGAAATGATGAGGCGAGCCTGAGAAAAGGCCAGCGTGACGCTGAGAGAAAGAGAGAGAGAGAGAGAGGTGGTAAAAAAGACGAACCAGAGCGGAAAGAAGGCCGGGCACACGGCTAAACGAGCTTGATCGAGCGAGATAGCGGCGAACGTGGAAGAGGGCATAGTAGGGGGAAAACGACAGATAAAAGAGAACGAAGAGGGAGGTTGGAAAAGGTCGGGGAAAGCATAATAAGAGGTGGGATCGTAGGTGGAGGCGGAACTCAAAGCTCCGCCTATGCTTTCCAACCTCCACCTGGTTGCAGTTGACCTACGCTTACGTGGGAATTCGCGTGCCTTCCAACACCATCGCGCGTACAACGATACGTTATCCCCGCGGCTCACCGTACACCGGGACCTCTCGATTATCCGAACAGGTGGACAAATTCGTTTCCGAATAATCGATCTACGACAAGTTACCGCGGGAAATTAAATGATCTTTAAAGGAGAGAGCAGATTAGGATCACTCGACAAGGCAAACAAGATTGTTAGAAAGCATTACCAGCTTTAATACGTTCACTTCCAGGTTAGAATGTAATATTCTGCCCAAGTAGAATTGTTATTTTAGACCATTGTAAGCTATATAACCTGAAATTTGTTTCGGTACTTATTTTCCTAACCTTGTTAAAATTCACAAACTCTATTCAAATTTATTTCCCTCGATGTCTTCACTTGAGAATTTATTTTTCTAGTATCTTAATGGTAAATCTTGTCACCCACGTATAGATGGCGTGGCAGTCAAAGTTGTTAATACGTTCACTGCTAGGTCGAAATCGTATATGTAATAGTCTGCCAAAGTAGAATTGTTATTTTAGAGCATTGTGAGGTACATAACCTACAATTTATTTCCATCGATGTCTTCACTTGAGAATTTATTTCTCTAGTATCACAGTGGTAATCCTGTCACTCATATATGGGTAGAGTGGCAGTCAAAGTGTTAATACGTTCACTGTCATGTCAAAATGCAATATTCTGCCAAAGTAGAATTGTTATTTTAGACCATTGTAAGCTATATAACCTGAAATTTGTTTCGGTACTTATTGTCGTAACCTTGTTAAAATTCACAAACTCTATTCAAATTTATTTCCCTCGTAGTCTTAACTTGAGAATTTATTTTTCTATTATCATAATGGTAAATCTTGTCACCCACGTATAGATGGCGTGGCAGTCAAAGTGTTAATACGTTCACTGCCAGGTCGAAATCGTATATGTAATATTCTGCCAAAGTAGAATTGTTATATTACAGCATTGTGAGGTACATAACCTACAATTTATTTCCCTCGGCGTCTTGACTTGAGAATCCATTTTTCTAGTATCATAATGGTAAATCCTGTCACCCATTGTATAGGTGGCGTGGCAGTCAAAGTGTTGAATAGACTTTGCAAAATTAGAAAATGAGATTTTTGTTTCAACGATGCGTTTGGTTAATTGGGAATTTGAATAATGAGCTTTTAACCTCGATTAGTTCTGTGTAAAGTTTAATTTTGTATGTTACAAAAGTAAATAAATGCATCGTTCCCCTCTGTGTCAAGACTATTTGACAAAAATAGAATTTTTGAATTTCTAGAGTTCTAGATCTGACGATGAAAGAGAAAATGGCCGCGTTGAGAGGTCGATATAACGATAATATGTACGACTGTAACGTTAAGGAAAGTTAAAAATTAAAAACGAATCTTTTAACAAAATTGACGGGCGAAGTTTTTCGACGAAATTAAAGAATCTCGAACCCATTTTGAAAAAATTATTTTTGATCACAGGGGTCAATTGCAATCATATTTAAAGAATCATAACTCCTGAATTGAAAGATTGTAATGTTGAAAAATGTTTGAAACGTTGTTCCTTATAATCCCATAAAGTGAGTCCTCGTAAAAATGGTCCAATTTTCAAATGACCATAACTCCTGCAATAGCGACTGTATTTCATTGAAATTTATTTACGAAGTAGAGCTCGTAGATACCTACAAATAAGTATTAAACAAAATTCCCATGGAACGTCCATCTTGGTTATTAAAAATCAAAAACACATTTCAAATAAAAATCCACAGGGTCCAGACATTTTTGGACAAAATAAAAGTTTCAAATCGTTCTAAAATAATTATTTTTTTAGACACTTTCAAGGAAATACTTCTTCACCGAAAATATGTGTATTAATAACTTTGATACTATTTTAATAATATTGGCAGTTCCATCTCGCTTGCATATATATATCTTGCCTAAAATACATCTCCGGATATCTCTCACAAATTTTAATCAAACTCGTTCCATATTACGACCTCACAGCGCAAATAAAACACAATCAAACATTCGCGATGTAATTCAAGATTCTCGTCTAGTAAGATCACGAATAAGAGAAAAAGAAGACTGTAATAACATCATATTTCATAAATTACCTGCTCCGTTACAAAGAAAATCGTCCACCTCGCTGCAACTACCGCAATAATGAAAAACCAATCGCCTGAAACGATTCTGACGATACATTAGCACGTGAATAACACCCTAAGCTTCTCGAGAAACACAAACCTGCACGACACGCCTGACTATACGAGACCCTCCTTGCATCCGTGACGTCTGGTCACTCGCGACAATGGCGACGAACGTAACTGCACTCGAGAAAACAGGAGAGACTCATTGTTGCATCAGAACGATATAATAATTCCAAGAAGTAAATCAAATGATGAGCAGACTGCGGATTCTTATGCAAATTCATATTTTGATTAATAAAATTAATGAAATGAGAGCTTCGTAGAGGGTTGTTTCAATCCCTTAACGTTCATGCCCGAGTCTGACTGCTTTGAAAAACAATATTTCTTTAATCCAACGGTTCAAGGGATGATAATATTTC